AGCATTCCCCTGATGAGTCATGCCAGATTTGCTTCAAGAATTTTATATTAATGATTTTGGCTGGATGCAGTGGCTCACGCCTGTAATCCCAGTACTTTGGGAGGCTGAGGTGGGTGGATCACATGAGGCCAGGAGTTTGAGACCAGCTTGGCCAACATGGGGAAACCCCATCTCTACTAAAGATTAAAAAAAAGTAGCCAGGTGTGATGGTACACATCTGCAATCAGCTACTCAGGAGGCTGAGGCACTGGAATTGCTTGAACCTGGGAGGGGGAGGTTGCAGTGAGCCAAGATCGTGCCTCTGCATTCCAGCCTGGGTGACCAGAACAAGACTCTGTTTAATAAAAAAAAAAAAGAATGTTACATTATTTTTAGAGTCTTTTGTAAGAAGCTCCTCAAACTTTTTGGCCTGCCTAGATCCTTCTTTATATATATATAATAAAATAAATATATATATTAAATATATATATTAATTTATTATATATAATAAATATATAAAAATATAATTTAAAATTTTTACATAAAATAAATTAATATATATATTTATTATATATATTATATAATATATATAAATATATATTTATTATATATATTATATAATATATATAAATATATATTTATTATATATATTTATATATAATAATATATATATATTAAAATATAATTTAAAATTTTTTTACATAAAAAAAAAAAGAGGGGCTGCGCCTGGTTACTCACACCTGTAATCCAAGCACTTTGGGGGGCTGAGATGGGTGGATCACTTGAGGTCAGGAGTTTGAGACTAGCCTGGACAACATGGCGAAATCCCGTCCCTACTAAAAATACAAAAATTAGTCTGACATAGTGGCTTGTGCTTTTTGTCCCAACTGCTTGGGAGGCTGAGGCAGGAGAATTGTTCGAACCTCAGAGGCGGAGATTGCAGTGAGCTGAGATCATGCCACTGCACTCTAGCCTGGGCAACAGAGTGAGACTCCGTCTCAAAAAAAGAAAAGAAAAAAAGAGTTGGGGTCTCACTATGTTGCCTAGGCTGGTCTTGAACCCTAGGCTCAAGTGATCATCCCACCTTAGCCTTTCACCAAAGTTCGAAAAACATAATTTAATAAAGTTACATAAGCAACACAATTTGAAACAAATAGTTTGAATAATTTTAAAATGAAGATAAAAGGGAAAATAATTTCATCTGTTGAGATACTTCTAACATTTGAAATACTCTTCTAACCTAACTCCATTCTGGAGTATATTTTCTAATCTGTCCATTTGTGTTTCTTGTTTTAATTGTCTGCTCTTCACCCTCATTTTCCTAATGGGTTGCTTATCTTTTACTTATTAGAAGGGCTTTTTTTTTTTTTTTTTCGGTTTTAAGGAGCCGAGAGTTTAGTAGTCAAGAAGGAAGGGAGAAGACAGAAGGAAGATGCTCCCTTGTACAGAGACAGAGGATTCAGGGGCTCCAAAGCCAAAAGAGGAGGTCCCCCTGTAAGGGCTTTTTATATCTTAATTAAGATATTAATGATAATAACTGTATGTTGCAAATATTCCTTTTGATTTGTTGTTTGCCTTTTAACTTTGTGCTGGCAGGTTTTGATAAACAGAACTTTTTTATTGGTTGTCTTTTTCTTTACAGTTTCTTCTTTTGCTTTTATAATAGGATACATTTTGATTAATTTCTATCTAAGAACAATGTGATGCTTTAGAGCAAGGTTCAAGTAAATATAAGCATGTAGGTGCACGATGGAGTACCTTATTCACAGTTACTGATGGCTGCTGTGTTTGTTTTTTCTTACTGGGGCTAAATAGAAAACAGGATGTCATCTTTGGCTTTTAAAGGCTTTCAGCTTTGGCGTTTAAAACATTTATTACTATTATTATTATTAATGTGTTTTATTCTTTTAAAAATAGAGACAGAGTCTCACTATGTTGCCCAAGCTAGTCTCGAACTCCTGGGCTCAAGTGATCCTCCTCCTTTGGCCTCACAGAGTGCTAAGATTACAGGTGTGAGCTACTGTGCCCGACCTAAAATCTCTATAAAAGCTTTTTTCTGCTGCTAATATTGAGCTGTCACACCATTTACTAGCTCTGATTTTCCAGCAAAAGATATTTACTTTACCTCTGATCATTCTCTGTCAATTCCTGAGATTCTCTGTGAGGAGAGCTTTACTTCTGATGTAATCTTTCTCTGCTTCAAGCCTCTGCAACTTCATATTAGACTATAGCAGGCTCCCAGCTAATCCTTATACACACAATCAACTTCTTCTTCTCTTCTCTCACTTACTTTTTCCAGCTCCTTAATGAGACTTGGGATATCTATTCTGCCCTTTCCCCTCGATCTTTTTTTCCTAGACTCTTTTTTTTTTTTTTTTTTGAGATGGAGTCTTGCTCCATTGCCTAGGCTGGAGTGCAGTGGCTGGAGTGCAGTGATGAAATGTCGGCTCACTGCAACCTCCTCTTCCTGGATTCAAGTGATTCTCCTGCCTCAGCCTCCCTAGTAGCTGGGACTTACAGGTGTGTGACACCACACCCAACTACTTTTTGTATTTTTAGTAGATATGGGATTTCACCATGTTGACCAGGCTGGTCTTGAACTCCTGACCTCATGTGGTCCACCTGCCTCAGCCTCCCAGTGCGCTGGGATTACAGGAGTGAGCCACTGCACCTGGCCTTTCCTAGACATTTAAAAGAAAGAAAGAAAACAAAGAAAAAAAAAAAAGAAAGAAGCTTATAAAGCAAATATCATGCAGGTGTTGCCTTATAGTTATGATTCCCCTGCATAGTAGGTCACTTGGTATTGAGTGCCCACTGCTTTCAGTGACATCCAGTATATTCCTCTTGTTTATGGGTTTCAACACCTCCTATTCCAGGGGACAAACATTTGTTCTGTTCAAAACTTTGTATCTCACTCCAGTGGGGTATTCTGCCAACCCATGTTTAGGTAATTGGTATTGCACTTTATTATTACCATAAAGATATCTTCCCAACGGGAGGGAGTGTAGTTTTCATTTTCTGTGAGAACTCTTATGCAAGCAGATGTGTTTTGCTGAGAGTTGGAAGTGGGGCAAGAAACCAAACCTGGAAACCTGTTGATCCCATGGGGTGGTAAGAGATATACTTCTTGTGTTGCCACCTGCTGCCCTTGTGGTTCTGAGTTGGTTTTTGTTGTTGTTATTTTTCCCTTTAAAAATTATAAACGCAATCTATCAGCTCCCTAAAAAAGTTTTGAAAAAATAACCCAATAATAATTCCACTACTCTGCATAATCATTTTCATTTTTCTTTTAATCTTGGCTCAAATGCATGCATAGTTTTACATTGTTATAGTCTGACAATACTTTTGTATTAGCGTTTTTAAACTTGACGTTATAAGTAATTTTCCTTGTTGCTATGTAGATTTCATAATGTATGTTTGTTTGTGTTTGTTTATTTAGAGATGGAGTCTCACTCTGTAGTCGAGGCTGGAGTGCAATGGTGCTATCTTGGCTCATGGCAACCTCTGCCTCCTGAGTTCAAGCGATTCTCCTGCCTCCGTCTCTGGAGTAGCTGGGATTACAGGCAGCCACCACCAAGCCTGGCTAGTTTTTTTTATAATAGAGACAAGATTTTTACCATGTTGGCCAGGCTGGTCTCTAACTACTCCTGACTTTAAGAGATCTGCCTGTCTGGCCTTTCAAAGTGCTGGGATTACAGGCGTGAGCCACTGCGCCCAGTCCATAATGAGAATTTTTAATGACTGCATATTAGTCTATCAAGTATTGATTCTTTGGTCTTAGACATTTAAATTCTTTTTGTGTGTATATTTCTCTTTTGTGCTTTTAAAATAATGCAGTAACACATAACTTTGCATAGTTTTTGGGAATTTTTGTTCTTAGGATAAATTTCTAGAGGTGCGGTTTCTGAACCTATAGTTTGCCACTTTTCTGATTCTGTGAAGCTCAGTACTGCTTTCTAAAAGAACTGTGCCAATCTGCCTCCAGAAAGGTTTTTCAGCATCAATATGACATAAGGAACATGAAAGCCAGTAAGGCCCTGGAATGCTGAAGCAGATGCAGGATTTAAAGGGAGATGGTAAGGTTTTTCTTCTCCCTCCAACAGGTTTGAGCCAGCCAGTTTCATGTTTCATCTTAAGAGTGAGTTTTATAAGAATTTCCTAATGGAAGGTCTCTCCAGGGTCTTGTGTCTCCTCTGTTGAGGTAGTTCTGTAGCTTTGCTTCCCCAGATCATGAAGGAAATAGATGCATGAAGTTAAAATAGAATTATTATTCTATTCTTTTTATATTAAGTCAAAATAGAATTTAGGCTTTACTCAAACTGTCAGCTGGCAAATTCAATAATGGTTGGTGCTTTGTAAGTCACTCTGCTCCTCAGGTTTAATGGAGGAGCATTCACCAACTGATAACAGTTTTAGGGTAAAAAGGAATCAAGTATGTCTGCTGAACAGAGAAGAAATACCTACGGATGACATAATTTTCTAGAGTTTATTCATGAAACAGCACAAATAGCAAAGCATTTTGGATTTGATTGAACTTATGCAGCAAAAAACCCAAAGTTATATAAAGTTAGTGAGTGATTACTAAGAGTAAATTAGCAGAGGAAGTTATAGCCAGGCTTCATGTATGAATCAGTAGTTTTCTGAAGGATGAAGTGCTGAGTGGCTTTTTTTGCTAGTACACGTGATCATGGAGGGATGATGTTCCCTGAGAAGCTGAGGGAGTATGGTAGGAGTGTACTCTTTGTGGCTACGTAACCAGCCATCAATTTCCAGGTACTGAGGTTTAAGAACTGCCAGGCAGGCTTGTTGCTATATCTCACTACTTTTTCCATCTCTGCCCCACCTCTCTAGCATTTTAGAAACCTGTTGGGGTAAAACTGAGGTGTGTGGCTTCCTGTCATAGTATGTGGGGTTCAGCATGCGTGTGCTGACTGTATGTGCCTTAGTTTGATGAGTGTATAGTGAAGATGGTCCAGTGGGACCGTGGTGGTCACTGATTCTGTTCTCTGTTTCTGTTATAGCCCTTTCCAGCATCCAGCCATGGGGGATATGAAAACCCCAGATTTTGATGACCTTCTGGCTGCCTTTGACATCCCAGACCCCACCAGCCTTGACGCCAAGGAGGCCATCCAGACACCCAGTGAGGAGAATGAGAGTCCCCTCAAGCCTCCAGGCATTTGTATGGATGAAAGTGTGTCCTTGTCTCACTCAGGATCAGCCCCTGATGTGCCGGCGGTGAGTGTCATTGTCAAGAACACCAGCCGCCAGGAGTCGTTTGAAGCGGAGAAAGACCACATTACTCCCAGCCTCCTACACAATGGATTCCGGGGTTCAGATCTGCCTCCAGATCCCCACAACTGTGGGAAATTTGATTCTACTTTTATGAATGGAGACAGTGCCAGGAGTTTCCCTGGCAAACTGGAGCCTCCCAAGTCAGAGCCATTACCCACCTTCAATCAGTTCAGTCCAATCTCCAGCCCAGAACCTGAAGATTCCATCAAAGATAACGGATTTGGGATAAAGCCCAAACACTCTGACAGTTATTTCTCATCCCCTCTTGGGTGCGGGGCTGTGGGGGGTCCAGTCCTGGAGGCTCTGGCTAAGTTTCCAGTCCCAGAGCTACATATGTTTGATCATTTTTGTAAGAAAGAACCCAAGCCAGAACCCCTGCCCTTGGAGAGCCAGCAGGAACACGAGCGAGGTGGGCAGAAGGCAGTGGAACCTCACAAAGATCTGGATGCCACTCGATTCTTTGGGGAAGCTTTGGAGTTTAACAGCAATCCTAGCAACAGTATTGGAGAGTCCAAGGGGCTTGCCCGGGAGCTTGGTACCTGCTCATCAGTCCCCCCTAGGCAGCGTCTAAAGCCAGCTCATTCCAAGCTGTCCTCTTGTGTGGCAGCTTTGGTGGCCTTGCAGGCCAAAAGAGTGGCTAGTATCACTAAGGAGGATCAGCCTGGCCACACAAAGGGTCCCTCAGGGCCCACTAGAGAGGGTTCTAAAGGTAGCCCCAAAATGCCTAAGTCACCAAAGAGTCCCCGGAGCCCTCTGGAGGCCACTAGAAAAAGTATCAAGCCATCCGACAGCCCTCGTAGCATCTGTAGTGATAGCAGCAGCAAAGGCTCACCGTCTGTGGCTGCCAGCTCCCCACCAGCAATTCCCAAAGTGAGAATCAAAACCATTAAGACATCATCAGGGGAAATCAAACGGACTGTCACAAGGATCCTGCCAGATCCTGATGATCCAAGTAAGTCCCCTGTTGGGTCACCTCTAGGGAGCGCCATTGCCGAGGCCCCAAGTGAGGTGCCAGGGGAGGAGGTGCCTGTGGAAGAGCACTTTCCTGAGGCAGGCACAAATTCAGGGAGCCCCCAGGGGGACAGGAAAGGGGACGAGAGCATGTCAAAGGCCAGTGACTCTTCATCTCCCTGCGGTAGTTCTGGGCCCCGGGTCCCAAAGGGGGCTGTCACGGGCACACAGACAGGCAAGAAGCAACAGAATACAGCACTGCAGGCCTCTACCCTGGCCCCTGCCAACCTCCTGCCCAAAGCCGTACACTTGGCCAACCTGAACCTCGTCCCCCACAGTGTTGCTGCATCAGTGACAGCCAAGTCCTCAGCGCAAAGACGGAGTCAGCCACAGCTTACGCAAATGTCGGTGCCCCTTGTCCACCAGGTGAAAAAGGCTGCCCCACTGATTGTAGAGGTCTTCAACAAGGTCCTCCACAGCTCCAATCCCGTGCCCCTCTATGCGCCAAATCTCAGCCCGCCTGCGGACAGCAGGATCCACGTGCCGGCCAGTGGGTACTGCTGCCTGGAGTGTGGAGATGCATTTGCCTTAGAGAAGAGCCTGAGCCAGCACTATGGCCGGCGGAGCGTCCACATTGAGGTACTGTGTACACTGTGCTCCAAGACGCTGCTCTTCTTCAACAAGTGCAGCCTACTGCGGCACGCCCGTGACCACAAGAGCAAGGGGCTCGTCATGCAGTGTTCCCAGCTGCTGGTGAAGCCCATCTCTGCGGACCAAATGTTTGTGTCGGCCCCTGTGAACTCCACGGCACCAGCAGCCCCAGCCCCTTCATCCTCTCCCAAACATGGCCTCACTTCGGGCAGTGCCAGCCCCCCTCCTCCAGCCTTGCCGCTCTACCCAGACCCCGTGAGGCTCATCCGGTACTCAATCAAGTGTCTTGAATGTCACAAGCAGATGCGGGACTATATGGTCCTGGCTGCACATTTCCAGAGGACAACAGAGGAGACAGAGGGGCTGGTAAGCAGACCCTCACTGATACGGGTATCGGGCCCCCGGCTTATACAGGTTCCATGACTGGGCATGGAGAGGAAAGTTTATTGATATGAGGGCAGTGGTGGAATCTTATGAGTGTTAGAAGAGGACGTCTGCCTGAATATTTAGTGCTTGGTGTTTGTTGGAAAATGTATCCTGCTCATACTAAGGTGAGACCCTAATTTAGAAAGTGTATCTATGAATGTGTCCCATGTGCCACTCAATGTCTCCTTGAAGGGTCTGTTAAGGCCCAGTATCAGGCCTGAGATAAGGGTGTACTGGATGATCTCCCTCTGGTCTCTGGCAGGTGTCAGCACAGTCTTAGCATGTGACCAAGGAACTTGGGGGCAGTGTTAGGTGAGTCACCGCCGCTGCACCTCAGTCTGCTCTAAGAACTGTCTTTTTCTTTCTTGAGATGGAATCTTGCTCTTTCTTGAGATGGAATCGCCCAGGCTGGAGTGCACTGGCAGGATCTTGGCTCACTATAACCTCCGCCTCCAGAGTTCAAGTGATTCTCCTGCCTCAGCCTCCTGAATAGCTAGGACTTCAGGCATGTGCCACCACTCCCAGCTAATTTTTGCATTTTTAGTAGAGACAGGGTTTCACCGTGTCGCCTAGGCTCGTCTTGATCTCCTGGCCTGAAGTGATCCACCCACCTCGACTTCCCAGAGTGCTGGGATTACAGGCATGAGCCACTGTGCCCAGCCAAAGAACTGTGTCTTTAAAAAGTGGTTGTTCTACCCTGCAGTGACACAGCTGTTTTTGCGGAGTCCTTTGTGGAAACTGCAGTGTGGGCAGTGGCAGGGCCAGGGTAGAAGGGAGGAAGATGGACAGGTATGTGGAGCCTGTGGCAGAGGTTTTTGGAGTCTCCTTCTTTCAACTGCGTTCTCACCACTCCAGGAAAGCAACTGTGCTTATCTGGTTGTTTACATTCTTGGTTATGCTTGATGAGATTTGTTAAAAAAAAAAAAAAGCCTTGTATGCTGGCAATACCCTTTGGCACCCTCTGTGTCTGTGTTAGCAGTTTCCCTGAAGAAGGAGGCCTCCAGAAGGTGGTTCTCTTCATGACATAGCCAAACCCACCCCTCATGGTGCTTCCCTCAGCCGGTGCTACAGAGGCCTGGGAGGAAAGCAAAACAGCTCATTTTGCTTTAGTTCAGCCAGGGGTCTGTGCATGTGTTGGTAGCTGATGAGCTTTGCATGTGTTCCCTGAGTGCCCACTGTGCATGGGCGGGGAGGTCTGTGCCAAGGAGGGGATGCCAGCAGAAGGGAGTCTCATCTCCAGGAGCTCACAGTGGCTTAGCAAGGGCAGTGATCACCACCCAAACAGCTATAATACATGGCAGACTGGTTGCACAAATGCCTGAGGGACTAAGTCATGGTGATTCCATGCATAAGGAAGATGCTGTGTGGAGGTGACATTAAAATAGGGCTTGCAAGGACAAGTTTGGAGGAGTGGGAGGGGCAAAGGTGTTCTGAATATAGGGAGCAAAGGAATGTGAGAGTGCAGAGTGGGTTTGAGGAACAGGAAGTTGTGCGTGAGGCTGGTCTTGGGAATGTTGGGGTAGGGGTAGAGGTCAGAGGTTGAATTTGGTGGGCCGGTAGGGCTTCTACAGAGGACTCACCCCACAAAGGGGCCAGGAGCTGCTGTAGGATCCCACTGTAGATCCTACTCATCTCCTCCTGCTCTGTTTCAGTTTGCATTTTTCTTCTGATGCGTCAGATAGAGTGTGCTCACTCTGGGCCCCTTACTCTGGGGCTTCAGTGTTCTTACTGCCCCAGCATGGTTGAGTTGGGCTAGGTTTACTTTATCTGAGTCAAGGGACCATAAGGACCCTTGGCGGTGGAGGTCTGTTGCCTGGGCCTGGGATTTTTTCACACTGATCCTTGTGTATCTTTTTTTTTTTTTTGAGATGGAATCTTGCTTTGTTGCCTAGTGTGGAGTGCAGTGGTGCAGTCTTAGCTCACTGCAACTTCTGCCTCTTGGGTTCAAGTGATTCTCCTGCCTCAGCCTCCCAAGCAGCTGGGTGCACCACCACACCTGGCTAAATTTTGTATTTTTAATAGAGACAGGGTTTTGAACCCAGGCTGGTTTTGAACTTCTGACCTCAAGTGATCCACCTGCCTTGGCCTCCCAAAGTGCTGGGATTACAGGTGTGAGCCACTGCGCTTGGCCTCCTTATGCATCTTTTAAAATTGGAGTAGGCAGAGGTCTGGGTGTAGGATCCAGGCTGGCATGGCCCCTTCTCATCCTACATCCTGTCTGTGTCATTCTGCCCTAGTGGGAGCTGGAGAGCACCCCCAGAAAGGAAGGGAAGGAGTGTGCAGAAGGCTGTTGGGCCTCTCTCAGCTAGCTCCAAATCCCTCACAAAGTCTCATGCCATGCTATGTGGCTTCTGAGTCTGAGGGAAAGCCCTGAGCTCTGGGATTAAAAACTAGGCTTGGTGGTTGCGAGGCTTGGGTTTTCCACAGGACAGTATCTAGCTTCAGCCCATGTGTCCAGGGCAGAGGGTAGACAGATAGATTGGGCTCCATACCGCAGCAGGGACTGCGGGAACAGCATGGGTTTGGGCTTTCCATCTTTTTCCTGGGAGTCTGTCCCTAAACAGAGCATGCCTCCCTCTGCAGTGACCAAGGGAGTCTTTCATCCTTCTTGCTTTCCAAGCCACTTTGTTGGGGAAGGATGTCAGCACAGATGGGTATTGTCATTCCACCCAACACAGTAACAATCCCTTAATATTACCTACTACAAGTTCACGTTCAGATTTTTCCAATTACATCAAAAAATGTCTTTTTACAGTTGGGATTATTTTGAGTCAGGATCTGAACATGGGGCTACACATCACATTTGTTTATAGCTCAGTCTGGAAGAGTACCTCTTCCCACTGCATCCTAGTGGGCACCACCTTTTCATGCCATTGACTTGTTGAAGAAACTGGGTCGTGTGTTCTGAGTATTTTCCAGAGCAATTCTGGGTTTGACTGATTACTTCCTGAGTTTTCCAGAACTACTTTGAGTTTTACTGATTACTTCCTCATGCAGTTAATTTTTTCCCCCATATCCCATATATTTTTCTGTAGACTGGAAGTTAGCAATAAAGACTTGATTAGATTCAGGTCATTTTTGATGGAGGTGGGGGTGGAGGGTGCTCATTCTTCCTGTTTCATGACTTAAGGAGGCACAAAGCACCTGATTGTCTCACTTTTAATGATGCTGAATTGATGAGAGTGGATTTAGGTGATGATATTTTGATCCCTTCATTGTAAAGCCCCCCACCTTTTACCTAATTATTCATCAGCAATCACTGCTTGAGTCTAATTTTATTGAGTTTCAAAGGATATTTTTCTAATTCTATTGTTTCTTTCTAAAGTATCTTTCTTGCTTCCATGAGGGCTATTTGGTTACTCTCAAAAAGAGTTTATGTTGGAAATTGGGATAATTAATTTGTTCCTTTTATTTACAGTTCTCAGAGTTGTGAGTTGATACCCTGACAATCTCAATTGGTGTTCTAAGAGTCCCTCTTCTATTTTATTAAAAATTGTGGTAAATTACATGTAATATAAAATTTCCCATTACAATATTTTGATGTGTGTACAGTTCAGTAATGTTAACGTTAAGTATGTTCTCATTGTTGTAAAACCAGTCTCCAGAACTCTTCATGTTACAAAACTGAAACCCTGTACTCATTTAAACAAACAAACAAACAAACAAAAAACAGGTCCCCATTTCTCTTCCTTCACCCAAGCCCTGGCAAACACCCTTGTGTTTTTGTCTCTAGTAGTTTGAATATTCCAGGTATCTCATACAAGTGGAATCACACAGCATTTGTCTTTTTGTGACTGGCTTTTCCATTTAGCATGTCCTCAAGGTTCATCTATGTTGTAGCATGTGTCCAGATTTCCTTCTTTTCTGGCCAGGCGCAGTGGCTCACACCTGTAAGCCCAGCACTTTGGGAGACTAAGGTGGGTGGATAATTTATTTGAGGTCAGGAGTTCGAGACCAGCCTCGCCAACATGGTGAAACCCTATCTCTACTAAAAAAAAAAATTAGCTGGGTGGTAGTGGTATGTGCCTGTAATCCCAGCTACTCGGGAGGCTGAGGCAAGAGAATCACTTGAGCCTGGGAGGTGGAGGTTGTGGAGGGCCGCAATTGTGCCACTGTGCTCCAGTCTGGGTGACAGACTGAGATCCCATCTAAAAAAAAAAAAAATTCTTTTTTAAGGCTGAATAGTATTCCATTGTGTGTATATACCACATTTTGTTTATCTTTTCATCCATTGATAGTTACTTAAGTTATTTAAATGTCTTAGCTATTATGAATAATGTTGCTATGAACATGGGCTCAAAAATATATCTCTTTGAGACCTTGCTTTTAAGTCTTTTGGGTGCACACCCAGACGTAGCATTGCTGGATCATATGATACTTCTATGTTTAGCTTTTTGAGATACCACTGTACTGTTTTTCACATTGGATGCACCATTTTATATTCCTACCAACAGTACGCAAGTGTGCCAGCTTTCTCTACATCCTCACCAGCACTTATTTTCTGTTCTTTCAAATAGTAGCCATTTGCTGAGCATGGTGGCTTATGCCTGCAATCCCAGCACTTTGGGAGGCCAAGGCGGGTGGGCAGACCATGAGGTTAGGAGTTTAAGACCAGCAGCCTGGTCAACATGGTGAAACCCCTATGTCTACTAAAAATGCAAAAAATTAGCCCAATGCGGTGGCACACACCTGTAATCCCAGCTACTCTGGAGGCTGAGGCAGGACAATCACTTGAATCCAGGAAGTGGAGGTTGTGGTGAGCACAGATCACGCCACTGCACTCCAGCCTGGGCGACAGAACAATACTGTGCCTCCAAAAAGAAAAATAGTAGCCATCATAGTGGGTTTGAGGTGACCTCCTCTATTGGTTTGGGTGTTGTAACGGCTCGTTGATTTTTATATATTCAGTGTGTTTACATATTCAGTCATTCTTTTTGATGCTCATGTTACACATCTTTGGTCAGTGGCAGCCCCTTCGAGCTGACTTCTGTGTCCCTCTAGGCGGCACCTCTGACTCCACATCATTGTCCCCCTCTGTGAGTAGGATAGGTGTCCCCTTTACTAAGAAGTTAAGAAGGGCCTCTTCATCATGTAGGCATCAGCTAAGTCTTTTACATTTTCCCTGTGGGCTGGCTGCTTGTCAGAGCTCTGCCCATCAGAGCTTCAATGAGTCCACTTGTAGGACTTGTACTTCCCCTGGTTTTCTCCTGAGGCTGAGAACAAAGGAGCTGCTACCTAATCTACCCTGTCCACGGGTATATTTGCTTAGCTGTGGCTCAGGGAACACCCCCGCCCCCATCTGCCTCTGCAACTCTCCCACTCCCAAGAGTGGGCAAACAGGGCTAGAGCAATGGAAACTGGCAAGACCACTCAGTCAGTCTATATTGAGAGCCTTCTGAATACCAGTTAGGGTGGTCTCAGATCCACTTTGGAAGTCACTGAATCACCTAACTAGAGGTGTTGAGCAGGTCTCCACCAGGCGATTGTTGTGGGTGGATGGCAAGAACTGCCTCTACTGAGCTATGACAGAGACCCTGGTGAGTTTGGCAGTGCAGTGAGGTCTTAGAATTCAAGAAGTGCTTTAGGCCTCTGCAAAGGAAAAGCTAGTCCTGCTAAGCCAGAGGAAAGAAACACAGTCCTAGGGGAAGAACTGATCTTTGAGAGAATAGGTGATTAATAAGGTGTCAGACAAGGTTTGCTTGGGTATCAGTATCAACACTCAAAATGAGGTCTAGGGATGTCAGAAGGGTCTAGGAGAGTTGGAAGAGAGAGTAGTTGGGGGAAGGGGCTATTCTGACCCAGATACTGGAAAGCCAGACACCCCTGATTGGAGAACCACAGGCCTGTGGCCTCTGCATGATCTGCTTTCTTGGTGTTCTTTCCTAGACCTGCCAGGTATGCCAGATGCTGCTGCCCAACCAGTGCAGTTTCTGTGCCCACCAGCGGATTCATGCACACAAGTCCCCCTACTGCTGCCCGGAGTGTGGGGTCCTCTGCCGCTCTGCCTACTTCCAGACACATGTAAAGGAGAATTGCCTGCACTATGCCCGCAAGGTGGGCTACAGGTGGGTGCTGCCTGGCTTGCTGTCCTGGTATTGCCCAATGGCTCGTCCTTTTCCTAAGCCAGAACTCATTTCAGATAGTTTTGGTTTTAAGAGGCCTGGGTTCTAGTCCAATAGGACAAAAGCATTGGATGGTATGTGGATAGACATTTTTTATTTGGTAGCAGACAGAAAGAGAAGAGTAAGGAGTTTAAAAAACTTAAGTATTAAAAAAAATAGCTCTGAAGTTTTGGGGAGACTAGAATGCATATAATACTTTGTCTATTTGGTTTAAAAAAGTTTATAAGTTTAATTTGCTCACAAAGTTATCATGTTTGGCACATTAAATGTAAAGTACTGTTTCAATAATGAATGTACTAATTACAGTACTTGGAAATGTTTGCAGGTTTTAACAAACAGGGCTACAAGATGCCAAACTCAAAGGGCTTTAGTGTCTTTCTTTTTGTTAATTTTTGTCAGTTTGTGGCAAAATAACCAAAATCTGAGAGTAGAAAAAAGGATCAGCGTCATCGTAAAACCAAGAAAACTCTTATTTTAAATGGAATCTCCTCCATTGTGTCAAACACACACAGCAAGACATCATTTTCAGGAAAAAGATTGAAGTGAGGGAGAAAACTTCCCTCTAGAGCTCATTGTTTTCTGCTCTTGTTTCTGTAACTTGTTTTCTGCTCTTTGGCATTAAATTTTTTTGTGTTTTAGTTTGTTTGACTTTTTTGTGTGTACTTATTATTGTCTTTAGCGTTGTGTTAAGACACTCAGGGTAAAATGTTGATTGAGACACAGCCCTTGCCCTGGTAGGTTACAAGACATAAGAATGTAAGTAATTGTAACTCAGAGTGCTAAGTCCCACAATAGAGAAATAGTCAGGAAAGCTTCCTAGAGGAGATATTAGGAGATTTTCAGACAAAAGACGGGGAAAGCATACCTGGCAAGGGCCTGAGCAGGAATACCAGCATACAGATAAGGGGTGTCAGGAATGATGATTTGATTGTATAGAAGAATGTCAGGATGAATTGTGGGAGTGGGGAGGAATGAATCTAGGGAGTTGGCAGAGTCAGGTCACGCAAGACCTTGTATTTTTTGGTAGACATTTGGACTTTATCCAGTGGACAGAAAGATTTGCAGCAGGGGAGTGATTCGGCTAGTATGTTTTAGAAAGATCATTCTGGGAAGTGAACACATATATTAGTGAGAGGAGAGACTGGAGACTTCTTGAAAGGCAAGTATGATGGTCCAGATGAGATGCTGAGGGCTTCACTGAAGGAATGGTCGTGGGAGTGGAGAGAAGCTAGATTTGAGAGGGGTTTAGGAAGAAACATGAAGATTTGATAATAGCTTTTATATGGAATGAGGGATGAGGAGTTTGAAAGATTTGTAGCAGGATAGTAATCTCGCTAGTGTGTTTTAGAAAGATCATTCTGGGAAGTTACACAAACACACACACACACACATTTTTTGTTAACACGTATATTAAAGCTTTGCAGTGACTCTCAGATTTTTGTCTTGGGGTAAACATTTTATTTTCATATATTTTTTGAGACCAGGTCTCACTGTCACCCAGGCTGGAGGGCAGTAGTGTGAATGTGGCTCACTGCAGCCTTGACCTCCTGAGCTCAGGTGATCCTCCCATCTCAACCTCCCAGGTAGCTGGGGCTACAAGTGTGCACCACAATGCCTGGCTAACTTTTTGTATTTTTTGTAGAGACAGAGTTTCATCATGTTGCCCAGGCCAATCACAAAAATCGTGAGCTCAAGCGATCCTTCCACCTCAACTCCCCAAAGTGTTGGGATTACAGGAATGAGCCACTGCGCCTGGCTGGTGTAAACATTTAAAAATGTAGACTGATTTCTTTTTCATCTTATGGAGGATGAAGTATCTAAAGTACATTAAAAACAAGACAAACCTAAGACAGGATTATACAACGCACTTACCACCGTGTTGCCGAAGAGCATTGCCTGGCAGCATCCCAACTGCATTTTAAACCAAACATCTGAATATGTGTTTTTACAGTATCCTGTAACATTTAAAAATATCTTTCTAACCTTGATTTAAGTGCTTCTTGTTCCAAGATCAAATCCAATCCAGTAGTAATACAATCAACACTTACATATTTATCTTTGAATCTTGAATCCAATAATTTTTTTTTTTTTTTTTTGAGACGACATCTTGCATTGTCACCCAGGCTGGAATTCAGTGGCACCATTTTGGCTCACTGCAATCTCTGCCTCTCAGGTTTAAGCAATTCTCCTGTCTCAGCCTCCTGAGTAGCTGGGATTATAGGCATGTGCCACCACGCCTGGCTAATTTTTGTGTATTTAGTAGAGATGGTGTTTCACCATGTTGGCCAGGCTGGTCTCAAACTCCTGACCTCAGGTGACCCACCTGCCTCAGCCTTCCAAAGTGCTGGGTGAGCCATCATGCCTGGCCCAAGAAATTTTAAATTATATGGATGGATTAATACCATTTTTTTGTTTTTAATTACATAGTTTCTTATGTACAAGTAAAAAGAAATGTAGGCCGGGCGCGGTGGCTCAAGCCTGTAATCCCAGCACTTTGGGAGGCCGAGGCGGGTGGATCACGAGGTCAAGAGATCGAGACCATCCTGGTCAACATGGCGAAACCCCGTCTCTACTAAAAATACAAAAAATTAGGTGGGCATGGTGGTGCATGCCTGTAATCCCAGCTACTCAGGAGGCTGAGACAGGAGAATTGCCTGAACGCAGGAGGCGGAGGTTGCGGTGAGCCGAGATCGCGCCATTGCACTCCAGCCTGGGTAACAAGAGCGAAACTCCATCTCAAAAAAAAAAAAAGAAATGTAATGTCTCGGAAGTAATTCAGTTTATCAAATCTTTTTGTAAGGAATGCCAGACCAAATGTATTGTGATTCATTGAGAGGGATTACTGAAGATAGTGATGTTAAAATTTTCAGTGATGTGCGGTTGGAGTCAGAAGATGTACACACCATTACAGTGTTAATTACAGAGTTGTGCAGTCACTACAAACAATTTTAGAATATTTTACTATCAGGAAGAAACCTCATATCCACCACTTCTTTCATCCCCCTACCCCTAGGCAATCACTAATTTACTTTCTGTCTCATAGCTCTTCTGGATATGTCATATAAATGGAATTATGTAATATTCTTAGCATAATCTCTGCAGGTTCATCCATATTGTAGCATATGTCAGTATTTCATTTCTTATTATGGCTGAATGAGATTCCATTGTGGGAATATACCATGTTTTGTTTATTCATTTGTCAGCTAATGGACATTTAGGTTTGGTTCCACCTTTTGGCTATCATGAATAATGAATAATATCATTAATAACGCTGCTAAAGAACATTCATGTACAAGTTATCATGTGGACATGTTTTCAGTTGCTTTGGATACCTAGGAGTAAAATAGCTGGGTCAAATAGTAACTCTATAGGTAGGAGAACATCACACGCTAGGGCCTGTTGCGGGGTGGGGGGGCTAGAGGAGGGATAGCATTAGGAGAAATACCTAAGGTAGATGATGGGTTGATGGGTGCAGCAAACTACTATGGCATGTGTATGCCTATGTAACAAACCTGCACATTCTGCACATGTATCCCAGAGCTTAAAGTATAATTTAAAAAAAAGAAAAAAAATAGTAACTCTATGTTTAACTTTTTGAGAAACTGTCAGACTATTTTCCAAAGTGACTGTACCATTTTTACATCCCCACCAGCAGTGTTTGAAGGTTTTGATTTCTCTTCATCCTTGCCAACACTTGTTATAGTCTGACTTTTTTATTGTAACCATTCTTGTGGGTGGGAAGTGGTATCTTGTTTCCCTGATGGTTAATGGTGTTGATTGTGTGCTTATTGGACCCCATCTTCTTTGGAGAAATGTCTATTCAGATCATTTGCCCAATTCTGAATTGGGTTACTTGACATCTTATAATTGAGTTGTAAGTTTTTTATATCTTCTGAATACAAGTTCTTTGTCAGATTTGCAAATATTTTCTCCCATTTTGTGGATATTTTTTAAAAATAAATTCTCAAGATACCTATATTCCATTTTATTGAACTCTATTACAGAGTTTTACAATATTTTTATGGTTTGTATTACTTTTGCTTTTACTTGAAGATAATGTAAAAAGTCCATATATGGTTATATAATATATAAATATATATAAAATTTCTATGTATTTTATGTAAAATATGCATACACATATATATTTCCAAAGTTTATAAATTGTTCTGTTCTTTGTTAATAATGTGGAGAGTGGTCAGTGATTGGTAAGGAAGTTAGTTTAGACTGTTTTAATGTTATTTTCTTATTTGTGATTATTAACAAAGTTAAATACTTTATTGCTTATTATCTTTTCTAAAACTGCATATTTCACAACATGTGATTCTATAATTGTCTATTTTCTCTTAAAAAACTGTGGTCAAGTGTGGTGTCATGCGGTTGGCACTCTTTCTGCATACCTTCTCATCAACTGGTAAACCCCATTGGATTGAGTCCTTCATTGAGGGTACTTTGCACGTGTTCTTACTTTCAATGAGGTTTCTCAAAGAATGTCTACCAGATACATAGAAGGAATTTTCAGTAGCATCTGGGAGGAGCATATTTCTATTGTTTCTGCAGGAGTGTGGTCACACAGCACAAATAAAGCCACTTAAGACATTCTTTACTCATATCCGGTGGACTTGGCTACTTTGGATGAATATAGAAATACGTGCATTTTTTTCTCTTCATAATACTTTATGGTGTGGAAGTACTTCTGTGTGCTAGAAGTTGGTTTCACTCTTGTTTAGCAGGAGAGAAAGGAAAGTAAGTAGCTTGTATGGAAACCTTAATTTAAAGCATATACAAATTTAGCAATGAATGCTCTGTGGAGTTCATTCTAGTTCTGTGGGCTGCTCATGATTGCTAATTAAATTTTCCTTCCCTCCCCTCGCCTTCTTTTTTTTTTTCTTTTTGAGATGGAGTCTCACTCTGTTACCCAAGCTGGAGTGCAGTAGTGCAATCCCGGCTAACTACAACCTCTGCCTCCTGGGGTCAAGTCATTCTCCTGCCTCAGCTTCCCGAGTAGCTGGGATTACAGGCACATGCCACCATGCCCGGCTAATTTTTTTATTTTTAGTAGAGACAGGGTTTCCCCATGCTGGCCTCGAACTCCTGACCTTGTGATCCACCCATCTCAGCCTCCCAAAGTACTGGTATTAGAGGCATGAGCCACCATGCCTGGCTGCTAATTAAATTTTTGAAGGTGATTTTCTATCCCTCCCCTCCAATACACACAAGGAAGAAAAAAGATTGTTCAGGATTCTGTGGTGATTTATGTGGACTGTGAAAATGTATTATGCCTGTAATCCCAGCAGTTTGGGAGGCCGAAGCTGGTGGATCACCTGAGGTCAGGAGTTGAAGACCAGCATGGCTAACGTGGTGAAACCCTGTCTCTACTAAAAATACAAAAGTAAGCTAGGTTTGGTGACACATGCTTGTAACCCCAGCTACTTGGGAGGCTGAGACAGGAGAATCACTTGAATCCGGGAGGCGGAGGTTGCAGTGAGCCAAGATTGTGCCACTGTACTCCAGCCTGGGTGACAGAGTAAGACTCTGTCTCAAAAAAAAAAAAAATGTATTAGTGTAGTAAAATATGAAGGGTAACATTCAGGAGTCAAAGAATTCTTAAATGAAGGCATGCCCTTTATTTTAGCGAAGTAACTGCCTATCTTTAGTGCCTATGGGGATGCCAGTATTATGAGACCAGGTAATATTGCAACAAAAGGAAGATAAGAAGGAATAGCAAAGAGGGGAAAGGTGTTTTCTCATGTAGGGGAGACCTGTGTGAGTTTATAGGCAGGAAGAAACACTGAACACAGGAGAGGGACTAGGAATCTTATGGATGCAGCTTGGCATGGAAGATCGTATTATTCTCCAATATTGAAAAAAGGAAAAGCAGTATTTATAGAGAGATATTGTGAAGTCGAAACAGGTTCCATATGGCCTCGATTTCGGAAAAAAATGGCTTAAGACATTCTTTATCTTATTTATGTATTGTAAAAAAAAAATCCACAAAACAAAACTCAGAAAATACAAATTGGTAGGGAGAAAAGAAATGAAAAATTATCCATAGTTTCACCAAGGAGACATCACAGCACTTTTGAGCTGCGTGGAACAGTATAGGACCAGCCATGTGTAGCTACTAGGTACTGGAAATGTGGCCAGTGCAACTAAGGAACTGAATTTTTATTTTATTTTATTAATTTAAATAGCCACATGAACAGTGGAGCTTTTGTTTTGTTTTGTTTTCCCTCTAGGAGACAGATTCTCACTCTTTCGCCCAGCCTGGAATGCAGTGGCACAATCTTGGCTCACTGCAGCCTCTGCCTCCTGGGTTCAAGTGATTCTCCTGCCTCAGCCACCTGAGTAGCTGGGATTACAGGCACACACCACCACGTCCAGCTAATTTTTGTATTTTTAGTAGAGACAGGTTTTCGCCATGTCGGCCGTGTCTGGTCTTGAACTCCTGGCTTTGTGTGATCCATCCCCCTCGGCCTTCCCAGGTGCTGGGATTATAGGCGTGAGCCACTATGCCTGGCCCAGTGGAGTTACTGACCATTCCTTATCACAGCAAGTTCCACTGGACAACACTACTCTAGAGTATTTCTTCCTTGGCTTTAAGAGTGTTTCAATGTAGTTGTTGTTTTGGTGAGCATAGCAGTGCCTGACTGTATGTTTTGTTAAGTGGCCATCCCTGCTTGCTCGTACCAGCCTGTGGGAAGGCATGGGCTTTGCGCAGCCTCCTTCTGAAATTCTTGGACTTCAGCAGTTGTTTCACACTTAAATATGCCATTATGGAACCATTTTCTTCCCTCTCCACTTCCACCAACTTCTCCTCGGTAGGCTAGATTTTCAGTTTGCAGAATATCCTCTGGCTAGTGCAGGGAGGGTTGGGGTATCTCCCTTCTTTATAAGGCATGATCTGGGCTTGGGGGCCACTGTGCGGCCACATTATCCGAGACTGTAGCAAGCAGACCCTCAGGATGTATTTGTGGAGGGTGGAAGTCTGAGTGATTGCGGGAGGGAGAAGGTGCCTGGATAGCTCTGTTTCTGTTCTCCATCCCTCTTGCAGTACCACCTCTGGGTCTAGTACTCCCTCGACTCCACCCACACCACCCCACCTTTTTGTCTAGGTGCATCCACTGTGGTGTCGTCCACCTGACCTTGGCCTTGCTGAAAAGCCACATCCAGGAGCGACACTGCCAGGTTTTCCACAAATGTGCATTCTGCCCCATGGCCTTCAAGACTGCCAGCAGTACCGCGGACCACAGTGCCACCCAGCACCCCATGCAGCCCCACAGACCCTCCCAGTGAGTGCAGCTCCAGGGCCAGCAGGCCCTGTGGGGCAGAGAGGAGCCTGGGTGCTGTAAGGGGTGGCATAGGAATGGGTCAGGGAGCTGGGATTAGGGCAGAGATGCCTGGGATCATACTAAGGATGTCCTGAGGCAGGGGAGCATCCACATTGGCTCAGGGTAGTGCTTTCCCAAACTTTCCCAAACCCTGGTTCAGAGAGAGCAGAGGTGGGTGGAGGGGCTGTGTGGCTCTGCCAGCAGAGCCTTGGCCATCTCATTCCCTGGGGCTTGTATCCTCAGGCTCATTTATAAGTGCTCCTGTGAAATGGTCTTCAACAAGAAGAGGCACATTCAGCAGCATTTTTACCAGAATGTCAGCAAGACGCAGGTGGGCGTCTTTAAGTGCCCTGAGTGCCCACTCTTGTTTGTGCAGAAGACGGAGTTGATGCAACATGTCAAGGTGGGATGCCTTGGGGGAGGATGCTGGGGAGGAGGGCACATGCCTTGGCCTGGGGGTCTGACTCTGTGCATCTTTCCCCTTGCCCAGTTAGTAATCGCTCTCCTCATCCCCAGAGCACCCACGGTGTTCCCCGAAATGTGGACGAGCTGTCAAGCCTCCAGTCTTCAGCGGACTCATCCTCAAGCCGCTCTGGCCCTCGAGTTCCCACCGAGCCCCCAGCCACTAGTGTGGCTGCTCGGAGCAGCTCCCAGCCTTCTGGCCGCTGGGGTAGGCCTGAAGCCCATCGCAGGGTGGAAGCCAGGCCGCGGCTGAGGAACACTGGTTGGACCTGTCAGGAGTGCCAGGAGTGGGTTCCAGATCGGGAGAGCTATGTGTCCCACATGAAAAAGAGCCATGGTCGGGTAAGTGCGGCCACACAGTCACAATGTAGAGCCCAGTCCTCTGGACTTCTTTCTGTAAGTCAGAAACCCTAGGGTTCCTGGTGCTTTGGGCTGGGTGGGTACCACAGATCTTGAGGTCTTTGGGGGTATCCTCCTTTCTGCCCATGGCATCTGAGAAGAAAGATGTATCCAGAACTATTTTAAGCTCTGATGTTTTGTGTGTTGCCACCTCCTTCCCTAGACATTGAAGCGGTACCCGTGCCGGCAGTGTGAACAGTCCTTCCACACCCCCAACAGCCTGCGCAAACATATCCGCAACAACCATGACACAGTAAAGAAGGTCTACACCTGCGGGTGAGTCCCTGGGATGATAGTGAGGGGCCTGAGGTTCAGAAGACTCTGTCCATGGCACCACGGGGGTTTTTCTCTGCTGCAGGATCAGGTGTCTAAGACAAGAGACAAGTGAGTTTCCAACGGGAAGAAACGGGCTAAGTGAGAAATCAGGGGCAGGTCAGAAACCAGCTTCCAGAACCTGGTAGCTCCTGAGCCCTCCCCGCTTACTCTAGCCTGGGGCTTCATAGCTTCTCAGTCACAAAGCACCCTGAGGTTTAAGAGGAGGAGTGGTGATGTGACCGTGTACCTCTGAGGCCGAGAGGCTTCTACACCATCTGCTGGTGCCTTGGAGTGTACCCGGCCCTTTCACTCTGACTGCTAGCCTAGCACTTGGGTCTCTGGGCAGTGACATAGGGAGTGTCCAGTCAGACTGTGGCTGAGGGCCATGTGTCAAGAGTGCAAGTATTCTGATGTGCTATTGTCTGCCACCTTGGCTGGCCTCTGGCTGGATCCCTCTGGGGAGCACCCAGCACCAGCCAGCCCAGGAGTCTGCTCCAGACTCCCTCCCCTTCCTGACTGTGGTGTGAACAGCACTGAGGGAGCCTGTGGGCCGGACTCTTACTTGACCTTTCTGCTGTGCTTCTGCAGGTACTGCACAGAGGACAGCCCCAGCTTTCCTCGGCCCTCCCTCCTGGAGAGCCACATCAGCCTTATGCATGGCATCAGAAACCCTGATTTGAGCCAGACGTCCAAAGTCAAACCTCCGGGTAGACATTCCCCTCAGGTGAGTGTGGGCTCCCTGCCTGCCGGAGCTGGCTGCTCAGTGAGGCTTGGAGCTGGAAGGGCATTAGGAAGGCTGCTGTTGTGGCCACGGAGCAGAGTGACAGCTTCCCTCAGTGTGGGTCACTCTCTAGTCCTGTGTGACCCGCCTGGGCACTGGACTCAAGTAGAGGATAAGGACAAAGACCCATAAGGTGGCCTGTCAGCCTTTTGTTACTGTTGCCTCCCTGTCACCATGGCCTCCTCCGTAGGTGCGTGCTCTGTGGACATTGGAGCATTTTCACATACACCATTCTCTTTCTGTGTCACAGCAGTCCTGAGGCAGTAGCACGCAGGACTGCCTTGTCAGATGAGGATAATGATGTTTGGCTAACTTACCTCCCAACCTTCTCACTAGTTACAGGAAGAGCCAGGCCTAGAACCTGCCATCCTGGTTCCTTGCCCTGTGATCTCATCCTGGTTCCATGCCCTGTTCCGATTTCTGGAGCAGCCTGGTTTTTCTTCCTCACTGCAGCCTCTTTCCATATCATGGTAGGGGGCTGTTCCACAGAGGGGTCAGGTATGTCTGGGAAGCCCTAAGAGCTGCCTGGAATTTCAGGGCATTCTCAAAGCTTTCTTCCCTATTCAGATGGTGTCAGTGGTTGGCAAAGGCCCTTTCCTGCATAGTAGCTGGGGATATTGATTGATTTTTTTTTTTTTGGTAACACCTGTCCAATTGTAAAATGCACATCCTCCCTTCCCCTAGAATGCACATACCCTTTGGCCCAACAACTGCACTTGTAGGATTTATCTATTAGAGAACTTTTGCCTTGGGCATAAAGAAGTCTGCTCAAGGATGTTTGCTGCAGCACTCTGTGCAGTAACACAGATGGAACTCAGCTAAGTATCTGCCATGGGGCACTTCTCATCTCCGCAGTGGCTTAGTGTGCTGCCTTTAGAAGAATGAAGCCTCTGCATGTTCTCCCATGGAGACACACTCTAATACATGTTGTTAAGTGAAAAGCAGGGTGAAGAAAAGCATGCATCTCCTGGGTGTGGTGGCTCATGCCTCTAGTCCCATCACTTGAGAGGCCAAAGTAGAAGGATCACTTGAGCCCAGGAGTTTGAGACCAGCCCGGGCAACGTAGGGAGACTCCGTCTCTACAATACATAAGTAAATAAATTTGCTGGTTGAGGTGGCGTGCACCTATAGTTCCATCTACTCAGGAGGCTGAGGTGGAAGGATCGTTTAAGCCCTGAGGTTGAGACTGCAGTGAGCTGTGGTGACGCCACTGCACTCTAGCCTGGGTAACAAAATGAGACCCTGTCTCAAAAATGAAATGGAATAAAATAAAAAATTAGTTGGGTGTGGTGACGTTCACTTGTCCCAGCTACTCATGAGGTTGAAGTGGGAGGATCGCTTAAGCGCAGGTCAAGAATCCAGTGAGCTGTGATGGCGCACTCCTGCCTGGGTGACAAAGTGAGACCCTGCCTCAAAAATCTAAAGAAAAGAAAAGAAAAGTATTCACGGCATGCCATCATTTTGTCAAAGACAATAGTTTGGTTTTGTATATGCATAGGGTATCTCTTGGAGGAGTCACAAACCCAGGTAGTATGTTCTTTGGTTAGCAGGCCTGGGGAGTAGGGAAATCTCTATACCCTTGCCATGCCTTTGGAGTATTGTGCCACATGCATAGGTTACATTACAAAACAAAGAACTGAAACAAACCAAATGTAAACCAGCGTTCATTTTACCAAATGTAAACCAGGATGGGGTGACCCTGGCCTGGGTGGTGCCTTTTTTTGAATCCTTGGGCTCATGGTCATGTCTAGGGGCTTATTCCAGGGCTTGGCCTGGACTCTCCTCACGCTGTCTCTCCTTTCAGGTGAACCATCTGAAAAGACCAGTCAGTGGAGTGGGGGACGCTCCAGGCACCAGCAATGGCGCAACTGTCTCTTCCACCAAAAGGCACAAGTCCCTTTTTCAGTGCGCGAAATGTAGTTTTGCCACAGACTCAGGGCTCGAGTTTCAGAGCCACATACCTCAGCACCAGGCGGACAGCTCCACAGCACAATGTCTCCTCTGTGGTTTGTGCTACACCTCTGCCAGCTCCCTCAGCCGCCACCTCTTCATTGTCCACAAGGTGAGAGACCAGGAGGAGGAGGAGGAGGAGGAAGAGGAGGAGGAGGAGGCGGCGGCAGCGGAGATGGCAGTGGAGGCGGCAGAGCCAGAGGAGGGCTCTGGGGAGGAGGTGCCCATGGAGACTAGAGAGAATGGACTGGAAGAATGTGTTGGCGAGCCTTTGTCAACTGACCCAGAGGCGAGGAGATCACTGGGCCTGGCCCCTGAGGAGGAGGGTGGCCAAGATGATCACAGTCAACCACAAGCCTCTCAGGACCAGGACAGCCACGCACTGTCCCCTCAGGTGTGACCAGAGGCTTTGCAGTGTGCACGGTCAGGGGTGGTGCCAAAGTGTCTTCCACCTGCTGTGCAGACCATGGGAAATAAAAAGCTCTGCCCTCGGTGTGGGTGTGAGTGTGGCCGGTTGTACCCTGGAGTAGTGTCTGCCCTGAGCTGCCAGTGCTGGGTATCCCCCGGCCCCAGGAAATGTGGGGTCAGCCAGAACCCTCACAGCTCTGAATTTGCTTCTGTTATTTATGGCTTTGTGCTGCTTCTTGGCACCCCATCTCTTGTCTGTGTCCTTCCAACCCCAGGCTGCTTATGTGGCCCAACCCCAATGCTGTCCGCTATGCTTGAACCCTGCAGCGGGTGTGCTCTTCCAGGAGGTTCCTGCTTGCTGCCTTCAGCCAGGGCACTCCTCAGAGCTCTGTTTTCCTGCAGACACCAGCTCTCCTTCCTGCCTTTAGAGCCTGAGAAGGAGGGAAATGGGGGCTGCTGACACAGTCCCTCTTGGAGAGCTCTGCCTAGCCTGGTTTGGCAAGGGCCCTTATTCACCTTGCCCTTCCTCCCTGTCTTCTCTGATTCTTTTCCCACAAAATAGTCCTAATAACTAATTGTCACACTGGCTCACCATGTCTCTGTGAGTGGAGTGGGAGAAACCTCTGCTGCACACCTCTGTTTGGAACCTGGGGAAAGCAGGAGGTAAGGCCAAGGCAGGCAGACACCAGGGGCCAGACCCATTGAGAAGGCGCTGTGGGTGGGTCTTCATTCTGCCTTTCCTGGCAGGTGGGGTTGGGGCACACAGACATTGGAATATTTGTACTCCTGCTCTTGTGCCATTTGAGAGGCTGCTGCTCCAGGCAGGCCAGCCCCTCCTCCTCTTGGCTACACTCATGTTGCTCAGACTATATTTCAAATAAAAAATCTTCTCACCATGCAGGTAGGCTCTTGTATTCCTCTCCAAGTGAGCCTGGCCCCACCCTGTTCCACCCAAGGGTCTTTCCCAGACTTCCCCTTTTGTTTCATCTCTGAGGGAGGACAAGACTTCCTACTGTCTAAGGAAGATTCTGGAGCCTTGGACTTCTTAGTTCTCTAGAGACCTTCTGAAGGCGCAAGGGGAGGGCTCCATAACAGTCAAGTCACCTCCAAGGTCTCCCTGGGCTAGTGGCATTGGCTTTAGGGCCTGTTGAAATTTTCTGGGCACCTTCATCTTTCCTTCAGATGATTTTCAACCTAAGAGAACCACTTACTGGGAAGAAGGGAAAAGGGGGTAAAGAAGAGGAATTTTATAATTTTCTTACAGCATTCAAGAGCTTTCTTATTTCTTACAGCATTGCTGCTGCCACAGACAACTCAGATGTGGCAGAATTGGGATTAGACTTGGGAGACTGGCTGTCTTTTCACTGATGGTGGAGTCAGGGCCTGCCCAAGCATGAGGAGCAGGCGCATGGAGGTGTCCTCTGACTTCTAATCTGGGTGGCATGGTGCTGGGCCCAGTAGGATCTAGTGCAGTAAAGGGAAGAGGGTGCTGGCTGCGTTCATAGAGGTCGTCTTTCAAGGAGGCATTAAATATCAATTATAAATTATTAAGTCAGATAAATATGCCTGACATTTTCACAACTGAAAAAAAATACGTTTTTTTCCCTCTATCAGACAGATGCCACGTTTTTAGTGGAGATGCTAATGCAGTGGGAAAGGTTGCTCCGTTTCAGAGACGCTCACCGTCTGCACCCTTTAATGCCTGTTCTTCCTGGCAAGGCTTCTACCTCCCTGCCTTCCACACTGGCAGGGGGCAATCCAGGCCTATTTCCAGTTACCTGGAAAGCCAGAGCTAGCCATGCTGTAGCTGTTGTCCCATCCCTCATCCTAGTTGGAGGGAGCCATCCTTGTACCCTGGGTCCATTCACAGGAACAGGTTCCAGAGGAGGCTGATAGAAGGGTTTGAAATGACTGGCTGAATCCCTTCCTGCTCAGACGCAATGATAGCTGGAGAGCAGGCAGAGATGGTGGAATTGCAGGTTTGAACACCTGCCCTGACCCCAGATATACATCTCTTTCCTGGGAAGAGCATGAGTTGGAAAAATGCTGAGCCACTCCCTGGGAAACCTGGGTCCTGGCCTGGATTCTGCCTTTAACCAGCTCTTAACAAATCTCTTAACCTCACTGTCTCCTCCCCTTCACAATAGAGTTAGTAATTCCCATCCAACTGGCTTCACAGCCTTTTGTGAGCTCATGAATGTGAAAGTGTTTTCTAGTTTATAAAACACTATGTAGTGGGGAAATCTTTACTTGACCTTGGGGCATGGAGGGTGGAGCACATTTTGTCTGCTGTTTGGACTTGGATGCTGATTATCAATTAGGAAGTGGCCCAGGACACCTAGCCATTATTTAGTAAGAGTGATGGTAATAACATTTTAAGCCCTGCTTGTGTGTCCAGCATCTTGCTGAACACTTTCTGGTGATTCTCTCCTTTAATCCTCACAAAGATCTCACAGCTGTCCTCCATTTTACAGAGAAGAGAACTGAGGCTCAGAGAGGTTAAACGATGTGCAGTGGCTGCCTGCAGTGATGGTGCTGAGTCAAGCTGTCAGCCCCTGTGCTCCTCAGTGACTAAGACTGCTTTGACAGGCTGCTGGCTTGTCAGTGGTTTGCAGCCTTCCAGACATTTGCTTTCCTACTTCTGCAGTTGGGGTGCCCCTCCAAGTGCCAGGTTCTCTTTGGAGTCCATCTGTGCCTTGTCACCCCAAGGAGGGCCTTGAGCATCACACTGTGACATTCCAAAACACACGTGGTGTCTCTACAACCTTTCATTCTCATTGAGATTGACCTTGCCATTTGAACACCATCATTTTTTGAGAACTGTCTAGAAAAGATTGCCGAACCCTCACAGGGAACACATGGTTCCCTCAGAGTCCAGTATCTTCTGGTCTTTTCTTTTTCAAGATTTTTTTTTAATGGTTGTGCTGTCATTTGTCATCAGAAAATGCTTGCTGTAACAAGCATTTATCGTCACGTTATACTGCAGTGAAGGCTCTACTGATCAAGTTAAACAGATAAGATCCCTACCCTTGTAGAAACTACAATTTAATACACTCTAAGACTTGACAAATTACTTAGTATTTTCCAACTGCTTTATCTCTGTAAAATGATATGCTCAATTACTATAAGCTAATGGTTGTAGAAAGAACTTTCCCCTTAACTTATGTAAACAGTCTGGTTTTTAAAAATTTAATAATTGTGGCTCAGTAACCGCAACACTTTGCCTTCCCCAAGACTGACTGAGGAACCTCTGCCCCGTTCACTGCTGTGTATTCAGCACCAGGCAAATTTCTTTTATTTTCTGTTTGTTTGTTTTGAAAAATTGATACATATACATGGTAAGACATTCCACAATACAAAAAATACAATTGTATTCCACAATAAAAGGGTATACAATAAACAGTAAGCTTCCCCATGGAGGTCAGCCTCTAGTCCCCTCTCCGGGGTTAATCACTGTTATCTATATGTTGTGTATCCTTTCAGAGCAATTCTATGCATTTACAAGTTTATAAATATGTATATTTATATATCTATTTTTAATACAAATAGTAGAATTCTATACACAGTGTTCTGAAGCTTGCTTTCTTCACTTATATAGTATTTTGGAGATTATTCCAAATCCATACATTGGGTCAGAGTAATTCTTTAAAAGTTCCTTGCATGTAATAGTGGTTCAGAAAGTATATGGATGAATGAATGAATGCCTGCATGAATGAATGAATCTGATTCAACTGGTAGCTACAGCTGTTCTCTCGGGGTCTGATCTAATCAAAACAGCACCTTCTAGATTCTAGAATGTGTCCCCCTGACTAAGGGGTTCAGAATACTATTCACCTTCTCCAACAGATGCCACAGGAACTGGGCACAGGAAGCCTTGGGCCCTTGGAGGAAAAAGTCGAGACTAGGACCTCAGGTCCCAAGTAAGGGTTTTTTTTTCGGGTTCCTACTTAAAATGCATTTTTCTTTATTGGAAAATGATGTAACATTTTAGAGAAAATTAAAAAGCACACATATTTATCATCTCTTCCTCCTACCATTGCGGTTGTTTTCATTTTTGCCTATCACTTTCCAATTCTTACTCAGCACATTCGTAATTGAATTTACAGTAAAATGATGATAGTAGTAGTGGTTAACAGTGAACATTTCTATTTGGGAGACATTATTCTCAAATTAGCTTCATAACACTCCTGTAAGACACATAATACTATTATTCTTTTGGAGGCAGTAAAATTGAGGTTCAGAGTAGTTGAATGACTTTCTTAAGGCCACGGAGCTAATAAGGGGCAGAGCTGAAATTCACACTCATGGGTGACTAATACTATACTGTCTCTAATTTTGTACCCTACTTTTCTCCACTTAACATGAAAAATGTCGTCCAGTACATGTTTCTACATAGCCTAAGTCATCATTTTTAATAATTGTAATCACTTTCATCATGCCAAATCAATATAATTAATAATTTCCTGTTCAACGTTTAAATTTCCTACTTTGTCAGTGCAGTGAAGAGTCCTCGGCATAGAGCTTTTTGCTTCTGCAGAATTATTTCCTTGGGAGTTTAGCCCTATTTTTTTCTTGAGTAAACTCACTGGCAGAATGATAGAATGGAGAAGGCCATTGTCATAATCATAAACAGATGCCCCAGGGTGTAGTCTCATTTCTGTAACTGACAGTCATTTGGTCTCTCCTGGCCTTAGTTCTCTTATCTGTCAAATGATGGGGTTGGTTTATATCTCTGTGGATCTTGATTTGTATCTTCCTATTCTGTATATGTTCAATCAATATAATTAATAATTTATAGACCTTCCTAAAGGCAAGAACTTGTATTTCCTCTTTTGCTTAATTTTTTTGTTTACTTTTGACCTAGATATATACAAAAATGGAAAAGATCCCTCCTACTCAGCCCCTCCAAAGCATTATCACTTTTATTTACATTTATTTGTTTTTCAGTTTGTATTAGATTTATGCTTTTTCAGATAGAGTTCTAGCCCTTTATGTGTACCTGTTTCTTTTAAAAATCTCATCATTGTTAATCATCCTAAGTTGTGTAACTTTAAAAATTTGATTACTTTCTTTTTTTAGAGACAGGGTCTGGTTCCGTTACCTATGTTGGAGTTCAATGGCACAATCATAGCTCACTATAACCTTGAACTCCTAGGCTCAACTGATCCTCCCACCTCAGCTTCCAAAGTAGCTGGGACTACAGGTGTGTGCCACCATGCCTGGCTAATTTTGTTATTGTCTTTTTAGAGATGGGATCTTGCTATATTGCCCAGGCTGGTCTTGAACTCTTGGGCTCAAGGGATCCTCCTGTCTCGGCCTCCCAAAGTGCTGGGATTACAGGTGTGAGCCACTGTACCTTGCCTTTTTTTTTTTTTTTTTTTTTTTTTTTTTTGCTTTTGTCAAGCCTTTTTGAACTTTGTGTACTTTGTAACTTCCAAGCATCTTCAAATCCTTCTGTGACCAGGCATCTTTTCATTAGGGTTCGAGGTCCAGGTGAATTCTTCAGTTGGTTCATTGTGTCACACATTGGCCTTAAAAAAATGCTCTTATTTTATATGTACAACTATATATACCCATTTACAGATTTAAATTGAGGTTTCATTACATGAATACTAAAATCAACAAATATTTTGACCATAAGGAAAAGGGATTCGGAAGGATGTGATAAAGCCATGTAAATCCATTCTAACTCGGAGAAGCTTCCATCACAATGAGGACCCAAGTCACAGTGGATCTGCAGCACCCCCGTGTTTCATGAATGGGTGTGGGATCATACATAGAGTGTTCATCCAGATCTCCTGAGTCACTTTGCTTCTTGGCCTTTTGGCTGAAATCAAGTACAGACCTACCAGATCTCAGATTTAATCCTGTAGGCTTTGCCTCAATTCTATATGAAAA